GGTTAGGGTTAGGGTAAGGGTTAGGGTTAGGGTTAGGGTTAGGGTCAGGGTTAATGTTAGGTTTATGGTTAGGGTTAGAGTTATGGTTATGGTTATGGTTATGGTTAGGGTTAGGGTTAGGTTTATCCTAAACGGTTGTCCCTCACCCTTGTAGGATATCTCGTGGACTGCATCAACCTGAACTTTATATTAACGCTAAACATCTGCATAACAACGAGAATCAGCTTACGTCTATTGGCGATATGATTGGCTTTACTACAATAATTTGTCTTCCTCCCCAAATGTATTGGGCCAATGGATCATCATTTTTTAGGAATAAATCTTTTAGCCGCTTCAAATGCTTGCTACCTGCTAGTCTCAAATTCCTAAAGTTCATTAACTTCAAAATTCAAAATTTAGTTTTGCAATTATGGTTGGAAAGAAAATTCGGTAGAGAGCAAACATATATTGGCTTCACAGCTTACCCTCTTCTTTACTGACAAAAAACTCTGAAATTGTTAACGCTTTACCCTATTCTATGTCATTTGTGAATATAACGTTCCTTTCAAGTTGATCAAGTGAATTCAGAGCAGATGACAAAATAGTAATCCGTGTATCTAACCTATACTCTGAGGTTTGTCATTGCTTCTTCCCAAAAGTATTTCTTAAGTTTCTTCAACAAGATGGTAGCTAAACAAGGCTCCATTGCAAATCCGTGAATTCGAATCCTTGCGTTTGTTCACAAAATGTATCATCAATGGTGAAATACATGCTACTCTTCTCAGCCAATATTACAAACTCAAAAGTATATTTAACTCAACATAGCCAAAATTCAGCACAGTGTTCTGTAGTTGTATGCATAAAAATGAGAGATGCTATGCATTACTCTTCGTTTATTATTAACAATTTATCTAAAATGGACACCCTTGTTGTTAGATGACCGGATTATCATTCATTAAACCACCTCGACCGACCTGACCTGACTAGGTTCTGGCTCACCTTGAATATGGGCTGCCAGTCAAGCGCGGTGGAACTGATGTAGACCATGCCGTTGCGAGACACTGTGGCTGGAGACGCGTTGTCGATGTTGTCCACTTCGAAGATGATCTTGCATGTCGGCGCCATCATGATCCGATCTCCGTTGGCCAGGGTCAGGGTCTTGTTGTCGTCGAGCACCGAGTTGAGGTTCTCGATCCAAATGGCGTCGACCGGCCCGTCCAACACGATCCAATAGTGCTCGTGTTTCTTCGCCTTCAGCGTCCGTCTCCACAGCGTTGAGAAGATGCCGTCCGTCCAGTCGTTTGTGGCTACGTCCAGAGTGCCGAACATCTCAGAAGCGGTGATCGCTTTCGGGTTCATGCGGTACTCGCGGTACAGTCCGCCCAGATCCGTCAACGCCCGCTCCAGACTTCGGATGCAAGCCGTCTTTCCGCTGCCCGAGGGACCCAGCATCATCATGCCGTGACGCACCAACTGCGTCTCGTAGAGCTGAGTCGAGCAGACGCGATACCGCGTGGGGGGTGGAGTGGAGTAGAGTAGAGTAGAGTGGAGTGAAGTGGAGTGAAGTGGAGTGGAGAAAAGGGACAATTAGTGCTTGTTTCGTGCTCAACCTGAGATTAAGCGATCTCCACGATCTGAGGCGAGGACAAAAAACCGACACGACTTCGAAGGGGACCGGCATCTCGAACCAGTCTGTGCAAAGAAAAGTTGGGTTTCGAGCAATCTCTTCCGTCATAATTGTTGGGCTTACTTCCATTTCGAGTGAAAGTGTTGAGTGAAGAGATTCGAAGCTCGGTTCCACCAGGAGACGACCAGCAACGGATTCCTCTTGACCAGCTTTCGATTGGCTTTACTGGAACAGTCATGCTGACGCTGTTTTCGAGGCAATCTCGTTCGATTCCGGCGAAAAGATGCAAAACTTTCGTCCGTCACATGACAGACATCATCAGGGCGAGGTAACATCTTCACAATAAATTCAAGCTAACAAGTCAAGAATTTTGTTGTGACGATGGTACCTTGCTCTGATGATGTTCGTCACATGACGGAGGAAAGCTCAGCACCTTTTCACCGGATTCGAAGGAGATTGCCTCCGAAACAGCGTCAGCATGACTGTTTCAGTAAAGCCAATCGACAACTGGTCAAGAGGAATCTGTTGCTGGTCGTCTTTTGGTGAAACCGGCTTTCGAGTCTCTTCACTCAAGACTTTCACTCGAAGTGGAAGTAAGCACAACAATTATGACAGAAGAGAGTCCTCGATACCCAACTTTCCTTTGCATAAAATGATGAAGCATTTTGGAATCCTTTTCACAAAGCCGTCTTCAAAATGCCTCCAAGAGGCAACAATTAGGCCAGAGATGGAATGGCGAGACTGACTGACGATGCCGGCGAAAAGTGTGGGAATGTACCACGTCCACGGTTCTACTCTGGAAACGATGATGCATACAATGGACTCCGGACTCGGTGCGTTGCTCTAAGTCTTCCTGCCAATATGACCAAGTTACGAAAACAAGGTCAAACAACCTCGATACAATAAAAGGACACTGCGACCACATAAAAAATGGCCACACCATCTTGGTCTTCATACCATCGATGTTAGATTAAACTCATCAACTAAACGGGACGTGCCAGATTACGTAGCCCCCGTCAAACCTTTGCTTGGATGGTTAAACCTTAATGACCTCAGACTGAGAGGTCAGGACAGGGGGTTTCGTAACTTGACTTGCACACTTACAAGCTTACATCTCAACCATACTTGCCTACGGACTTATGCAGTCTCGGTCAGGGCTTTCTCTTGGGTAGTGTTTTGACACACACACAGACACACACACACACACATACATAACTTCGAGTATGATTAGCATGACCAATATAAAAGATGATTAGCCAAACTATCTTATACCTATCTGTCTATGTCTTTACAATTTCATTTTTAGTTGAGTTTATTAAACAGTTATGATACAATTAAATAATATTCTTGACTTGGCGTTAATTTAATACTTTTATAAGAGTGCGTTCAAGCTCTGATGATGTCCATCATATGATGGAGGTGAGGTTGGCCGGTTTTCACTCGACACGAGAGAGGATGCCTCGTGGACTGCGTCCAAATGAACATGGTATTAGAGCAAACGGCTGTATTACTTCACGAATCACCCGTTGTCTTCATGCCAGATGAAAGTCTCCTGAACAATGTTAATTCAGGAGATTATTCGAAACCTATTTACTTTGCGCATCTACAGGAAAGTCTAGACATCAGCCAAGTCGACTTTGAGTGGAAATGCTTTGGTGACTTGGTTGGAAATAAGCGGTCCAGTTAAATGAGTGTATGCCTTGCACCCACCTGAACCACTTTGAGCACCCAAGGCTTGTGATAGATGAGGCCTTGCTCGGAGACTAGAGCCTCCAGATGTTCCATCAGCTCGGGGTATGTCGACTCTTTGCTCAACGTGACCCCGAGGAAGAGGTCTTTGAGTAGAGCCAGAAAGAGCGGCTCATCCTGATCCACCAGTTTGCTGAGGTTCATGTCGCGCAAGACCTTCATCACTGTCCGCTCCTCAGAGTCTTCGTTATTGGCCCGGCGGGCCTCGCCAAGGCTACGCAATACAGAAAGGATGTTGCGCAATCCAAAGTCGTAATGAACCTGTTTGAGGGAATGGGACAAGGCAGAGCGGGCGAGTAAGCAAGTGGTTGACATGATTGCGCCATCTTGGACACAAAGTCGGTGTCCAGCACAGAGTCTCATGAACAACGGCTATGAACGATACTTTTGTGACAAGGAACCGAAAAAGTTATTTTCAAAAAACAAACAGAACATGCAAAAATTTCAGAATAAATAAAGATAATTTTCACAGACTTCGACAATAGTCATCCATTTTTTCGTTAATAAATAGCGTGGACTGCAGTTTTGACCTGGCCAAGGCAGAAACTTTTGGGAAAGCAAGGCTATGTGGAAGCAAATGGGAACTTCAACTTTACTCATTTAAATGCGTGAAAAGTGAGTCAGCATACATTCATCATCTCAAAGGAAATAGAGAGAATACATCTCATAAAATATTACTAAAAAACAGGACGGTCAGAACAGTGAATATGGAGAAAGATGGTGAGTCAACAATAATGCATATTAGTACACAAATTATACAAAAGCACAATGCAAGGAGGAAGAAGGACAATCCAATTAGAAAGCAGTTTTAAATGAAAGATTTTTCTAATAAAAATAAAAATCAACAGCATGAAGCATGCTTGTAAAGTGGAAGATAGTTTACGATATTTTTACAATGTCAAAATAACATTATGTATTGATCCACAAAGAGAAAAGGTAGGATAAGATTAAATAACATAAATTGAGAGGCAATGAGATAAGCTGGAATGCAATGAATTGAGTTGAGATGAGCTGAGACAAGATGATGGTAAATGAGATGATCCGATATAAGAGAAACGAGATGAATTTAGATCAGCTGAGACGGGATGATATGATAAATGAAATGAGTTTAGTTCAAATGATAGAAGATGAGATAAATTTTGATTTGATGAGATGAGATAAGATGAAATGATATCGTTGATTTACCATATTTGTTTTATTAAATGTTCATAATAGTGGATTCTATGATTATTTATTTGGCCAGTTCTGCATATCCACTTTTGCTTTAAATGCATCTGCATAATTTAGACCCCTTGGGATTCTTATTAAACCGGTACAAATCTATTTTGTATGTGATTTAGCAAAGAGAAAGTTAAATTGAAAATAATTTTACTCGTTTTACTCGCCTGTTTGCTCAATTGTTCCTCACAGATTTTGTAGAGCATAAAGAATTTCCGCGAAAGTGACATATTCTCTGCGAATCCACAGGCTGCCAGTTTGACGCGAATGATGATCTGTCTATCGGGCACCATCATGGCGACTGAGCGGAAATTCATCTTTAGATTCTCCGGCAACTCTTGTCTGCCAGCGTAGCCGGGGTTCTAGATCGGGAAAGACAATAGGCAGAGAATAAACGCGATTAGACAATTGGCGCTTGTAGCGACTCTGCCCAAACTTTTCTCCCCACACCAGCCCGATCTGACTTCTCGACTCTGATCCTGTTTTCCTAATCGGCATTCTCATCTGCCATCGAATTCAGACTTGACCAATCAGCGCAATCACTCAACCCCGAAGGTACTACTCCATCCAATCGGCTTTCTTCCATCACTTTTGCGGGAGTCGAACAGCGACAGTGCAGGATGGGAGCTTGACACGAAACTGAAGCCCACTTCTGTCTGGATGAGAACAACTTTTACGAAAGCAAGGCTATGTGAAATTGAATGGAAACGTCAGCTCAACTCATATGATTGTGGGAAAATTCTTCTTCTGTCAGTCCTTCATCAGCTTACACGAAATTGGGTGGATACTTTTCATATTTCCTACAAAAGCCCGACTTCCGATTGAGCCCCGTAGTTATCAACTAAACCCGTAGACAAACACCCTCCGGACTGCTTGAACAGATTACCGCTGAAGACATAATTTGTAGCATTCATGCCTAAGTTCGTCAATCTCATGCTTGGCGTCTTGCTCATCCAATTTGTTCATCCAATCTGTGAGAGTTGCTCCAAGCCAATCCTAAAGCTGGTAAGGCCCCACATGCTGGCCCATTCGTGTACATCGAAGCCGCACCAGCCATTACAATCAAATCGTCCTCTTCTATGATCTGCTAATCTGCTAACCTGAAACATGTCATCAGAATTGTTCATTGACATTGGCTTTGTGCATCACACCGCCCACATCATTCACAATAATCCTGAGCGAGGCCCCTTCTTTGCGACTTTTGGTCGTCTTTCTTTATGCACGCTCCTGAGCCTCCATCTCCACAATGATCCCCGTCTCCTTTTTTATGGAAGTGGCCAGGTCGAGAGCATCGCAACTTTTCCACTTCTCCACCCGAAACGCAAAGTTGCAGACACTTGCTCAGTCTAAACTGGTCTGTTTCCATGACGTGCTTAGTTACAAGTGGAATGGTATCAAAATCGGCTACATCCTGCATCATATGTTCCATCTAATCTGAACTACAACTGCTTCAACCTTTTCTGCCCTCAAAACTAGTTTGTCCTGTTGTCTACGTGGCTTGGCGATATTTTTAACAAGCCTCTTCTTGTCTGCCACCTCCACTTGGTTGGCAGTGAGGATCAACGTGCATGTCAAACTCACTTTTACTTTCTTCTGCCAATCGGCCAGCAAAGTTAAGAACTGGCAGCAAATCCTCTTCAGTCAAACTCTTACTACTTGGCAAGGCACAATTGAGACCTCTGGATAGAAGTTCGTCAGTAGTACTGTCGAGTAGTATTTCTGTTCCAAATTAAGAGGACCTAACAAAGAATGCCAAATAGAAGAATTTTCCCACAACGATATGAGTTGAGCTGACGTTTCCATTCAATTTCACATAGCTCTGATTTCCCAAAAGTTGTTGTCGTCCAGGCATCAGTGGACTGCAGTTTCGACATGCATGTCAATCTCAACTCATATATCTGACGATGTCCGTCACTTGACGGACACAAGCTGAGCACCAAGTCATGAGGGTCGTATGACAGTGATCCGAGGTCTTCTTGACACAATGTAAGTGACACAAGCCCAAGGCAATAAACCCTCCTTCCGTATCCAGTGCGGCAAATTTTCGAATGCCTTCTACCCACCTTTTCATCAAAAATGAAAGCTACTATGTTATTCTTTGTAATGGGATGGAAACAGTTCTTTCAACCGTGAACCAAACAGCTTCTGTGGCCATGCCAATAACGACCAATCAGCATGCCCGACCCCTCTGGCCCAGAAACGGACCAATCAGGGAAGCCGACGGGGACCTCGGCAAGGCGTTACTGTTGCCTCCCAAAGGGGAATGTCGGCCTGACACGCCACACCCACCCCCTCTGGTCAGGAGGCTAAATGAATCAACACAGTATCTCAGTTACCATGGTGATAAAAATGCCGAATTCTGGATTGAGCGAGACGACGTCACCGTCAGAGAAGACGAACTGAGGCTTGCCTTCGCGCTTGGCCTGCAGGACAATGGCGATCTGCTGGGCGCACACCGACAGGACGGGCAGCTCGATCCGGTTGAACTCATCGAAGCAGCCCCAAGTTCCCGACTGCGCCAGGCCCTTGAAGATGCGGCCCAGACCACGAAACTCCATCTGGTCGGAGCAGTTGAAGACAACCACATACTTGCCCAAACAGCGACCCATGTCCTGTCGAGGGGTGGCGGGAAGGACAAATGACATGAAAAGACTAAAGTGTGAGATTGCGCTGTCAGTTGGCACGGCGTAAAGGCATGTCGCAGACATGCCAACCCTCAGGAGGGTATGAGGCGTAGGTGCCATCGTAGCATGTCGAAAGAGTGGCAAAAGCTACAAAACTCAATTCGGTAATAAAAGCCATATTCAGCTTTTTTTAGTTTAAGGGGATCAAGGCCTAGAAGGTCAATTTTCCTACAATCTTGTCGGTAGGCTACACATTTCCATGACCAGCTTCCAAATTGAGATAGGAGCTGGGAGGCAAGGCCATGCAAGATGCAATGGAAGCATGGCACCCAGTCATTTGATAGTGGGAAAGCTCGACTACAACTGCCTCATCACCTTAAACGAAATCAGGTGAATACGGCTTTCCTACTACTCACAAGTAGATCAATTAAATCAGTCAAGAAATCTCGCCTACCTCTCTCCTTGTACTGCATGTAAACACGATTTGCATGCATTTGCATATTCTTGTCATATTTAAATCCAATGTGTCTACGTATCTGTGTCTGCTCAAGTATATGTCAGTGTCCTTCTTCGTCCTATA